GTATCTGTGGCAACTTCACCAAAGGTATGGAAGTTACAATGAAAAAATGGCTCTGGGCTCCCTGGGTTTGACCACCTAGTTGAACCGTTTGCACATTAAATAGTGGCTCTGCTTGTCCCCCGAATTTTGCTGAACTGGACGTGTTGCTGTTACTGACATCTTCATTCGAGGATGGAGTCTGCTGCTAGTGCCTGAAGGATGAGCGCCGCGTCCTGTGTGGCTTTGGGGCTGAGAGGTCCCCTGCCTGAGCAGATACGCAGCGTCCTGGAGGGGCTGCCGTCCCACTCCTGCTGGGGACACAGCTGGGAGACCCCCGTTGCCAGCATCCTCCCCTGCACAGCGTGTCCCGGGACAGGCGTTGTGCTTCAGCGCGTGGGTGTTCGTGCCGCGTGTTGGCTGCGCACGTGTGCGTGCTCCCCCAGCGTGTGTTATGCTGCTGGCTTTCACAGGGCGTGAGTGAGCTGCAGTTGGCAAGCCGATGCGGGTTAGCTGCAGTGGCTGTGCAGGCTTTGAGAAGGCTTAGAAAGTTAACTAGGCAGTAGCTAGTAAGTTTGAGGGCTTTCTTTTACCCCTCCCAACTGCCTTCCCCTTCCTGGTCTCACAGGCATAAGGCTTCTCATATCCCTTGTGGTTGTATGGCTTCTACTACTTGAAGCATGAAGGAAATACTCTGTGTACTCAGAGCAACTGAATTCTGCCACCTCTTTTAATACCATAGTCCCGTAGTGTTCAGTGTAGTTCAGCTACCTGTTCTTGAAAGTAAAGTATGGCTTAGTTAGAGGGAGCTTGGCAGCACCTGGTCTTATGCCACTTTGAGAAAAAATTACATCTCCTTTCTTCTACCCCTGCGTTTTCCCCTCCATCTCTCCCTCAGTGCCAAGTAAACCCAGCTGCACACCTGGGGAGAGAACACACTCCTCATTCTGCCCCTGCCAAGTCAAGGCTGTTAAAATCGGGCTGTTTTGAGCAGAAATACATAAGTCAGTCAGGGAAAGCAAGCGTGCGTACTTTGGCATAAGATAGAAGAGCAATTTGAGGAAATGGTTTAGTCTGATCTCCCCGCTCCATCTCCTCCCCAAGATACTTTCAGGAGTTTGTCAACTTGGCTTCAGCATTTAGGAGCTTAAATTACTGCAGGCTTTGAAAGTTACCTTCAAGATTCTCTCAAAGGACTTGAATGTAGAGGTTGAGTCAAAAGCTGATGCTGTTAAGATGGGCTGGAGGCTTTCCAGTCAGGCTTTCTGCTGCAGACCCAGAGCAGCCAACGCGCGCTCTCTCGGAGGACGTGGGACTGGGGGTCTCCATGAAACATGGCGGCTGTTGCAGGGAGACACGCTGCTGTGCTTCTCTGAACCACAGGCTAAGACACCCCCATTTTCTCTGCCGTTTTCCTGACTAGTAGAAGGTGGGCCCTTGTTTCTGAGTGGCTCTTCAGAGGTAGGCAGGTGATCCAAGCTGGTGATGCTTGGGGCAGAGTTGACATTTTTGAGGAGCGTTGTTCTAGACAGTAGAACAGGACTACATCCCTCGAGTCGCTCAGCATGCCTTAACTTTCAAACAGTCTGCACAAGTTTCATCGTTGGTTTTGATAGTGTCATTGTTTTGTTTTGGGGTTTTTTTTGGCAAAGTTTTGATAGAGAGTTTTATGTTCCCAGGTTCTTGTGGTGGGTCAGTGTCTGGTGCAAGCTTGGTAAATCCAAGGCAGCTGTTAAAGCAGCCACCTTTGTTATCACTCATAAGAGACAACTACCCCCAGAATCAGAAAAGGCACCTTCTTGTCCTGGATGAAACTGCCTGAAGTAGCCTGAGTTAAGTTCTAGATCGAGTGAGTGAGCTGGTTTAACTTCAGGGAAACTGTCAACATAATGAGCTGCGAAAGAGAGCGCAATGCCAGCTGTGCTTCGAGGCGGGGTGAGTTGCAGTGACCCCAAGGAGCAGCTCTCCGGGAGGAGCAATGCTGGCCGTTGGGTTACGGTACGGTTTCTAAGTTCAGTTTTCCAGCAGGCTCAGGTCCTTAGTAGCTTCAAATGGTTATTTTCATTAGCAAGAACCTCTATCTCTCCTGCGGCTGTTCCTAGGCGTGTAGCAAAGCGTGTGGGTAGCAGCCTCCAAATGATAGAAACGACTCTGGGTAGGGCCTGGTGCAGCCTTGCTCTTAGGATTGCTGGTTGCAGTTACTGTAATTGCAATAGTAATTAGGTAAGGGATGCATTTGACAGAGGCAGAAGCAGACTTACTTATTTGTAAACCAAATTTCAGCTTTCAAAACACATCTGTCCTGTTAGTGAAGGAAGAAGTGGGGTGAAATAAAAAAAGGTGGCAAATACATTGTAACTGGGATGGCTGTTTCTTTGCCACCTTTGTCACTTGCCCTTTAGTGTCCTGATTCGATGGACATGTGTCCTGCAACGTCACCAGATGGAGCTTTTCTGCGTGGTGCTCCGGACCGTGAGAAGGTCACTGTCCCATCACCTTCCCAGGCAAAGGGCTGGTTCCTCAGGGTTGCCGTTGCTTGACTTTGACATGGATCAACTCCACTGGAAGGTAAATAAGAAACATTTATGTCATTAGGCGCAGGCTTTACAGAATCAGGCTGTGTTAGCCTGTGCTCTGGTTAGAACGAAAGAAGCCTCAGTTTACCACTAACAAATTTTAATGGTGTCCTCCCAGTATACTAGGGGGCATGGAGCAGGAGATGAAAAAAGTTGGTGTTGAAATAGGCATCACGCTTATCCCTGCTGAAGCCATAGGACCTTTGCCTTTTATAAATGTCATGGAACCTGCTGGTGGGTTGGAGGACATGCACTTGACTATCCTTTTTGTGCCACCAGTTGATGGAAAGGAAACAGAGAAAGTGTGTTTGGCCTTACGATTGCTCTGCTGCTGCGGCTTCTCAACACTGTTGATCGGTGCTGTGGGAGCAGAGGTTACAACTGGAAGAGTCTGAACTAAATTTGAGAGTTTACATTTACTGACTCAGACTGATATTTGGAGATAAAAGGACAGCTCTAGGGATCTCCTGTCCAGCTGCCTCCTGGCAGCTTGCCTCTTTGTCTTTGCAAGAAGAATATATTAATGCAAATAGGCGTGCTTATGCACAGTCTGGCAGAACCTAGCAGGACAGGAAACCATGCTGGCTGAAGCATGTTTTCCTGAAAAGCCTCGTGCACAATGTCATCTGCAAGTCTGTAGAGTAGATTGGTCTGCCTGTACCCTGCATCCCCTTATCCCCCATACTCCTGCTCTGCATTAAGCTGTCGTGTGAAGCCGTAGAAAAGGTTTGAGTACAGAAATGGGCACATATGCCTGAGCCCTGTTGTGATGAGTGCTGCTTTGTAGGAGAAGCTGTGGATCTGTAGCAGCACAGGAGTTGGGAGACCCTGCGAGGGGCAGGAGGCGTTGAGGCGAGGTGGAGTCCAGGGTGAGAGAAGGGCTGCTGGAGCAGCCGTCTGTGTCGGCGTGACTTTAGTCAGCTTTGGGGCAGACGCAGTGTTTGCTTCACTTTAGCAACAGCAGGTTTCCATGCTTGGCGTCCTTTCACTTTTCAAGTAAGAGGGTGGTTTTTTGGAGAGTGAGATGACATTTGGATTCCCTTCTTCAGTTGCTACAGCAGATGTGAGCGTCTTCCCCACGGCAAGAAAAAGCTCTCATTTTACTGCCCCCGTGTTCTCAGAAATCCCCAACAGCTCTGCCTTACTCCTTGGTGTTCCTGAGCATCCACCCATGTGATTGTCTTCTCCTACACAGTCAGGTGAAGTGGATGTCTGCTGATGCATCTGTTTCAGTGGACTTGTCATATATTCTTACCTGTTGAAATTTTTCATTGTTTTCTGTCACTGTAGCATATGCAGTTCTTGTGTGGGAAGGGGCATCAGTATTAGAAGCTCCTGCAGAACAGATTTTTAGACCGTCTGGTTTCCAAATGAGGTGATGTAACAAGATGCTCTTTGAGCATCTGATGCAACAGTAGATGCTGGTTCAGTAGCTTTGGTTCCTATCCCCACCAGGCACTGAAGCAATTTGTTTTGCTTGTTTCCTACTTAGTACTGTAGTATATCCATCGGATTACCTTACTTGGTCTGTCTTTGTATGTGGTAGCACCTGTACAAAAGTAAACTAACTGGAAATTAGATGTGTTAATGGGAAATTCAATTATGTTTTATCCCACTAGCAAAAGAATCACTCCCTGAACTCTGAAAACAGTTGCTTAGTGCTTGTTCAGTAGGTGTCCAGCAGTAAAGACTATTTTTTTTTTTTTGGTATGTTAAAGCTCCTGGTCCTCTTCAGAGCAATGATAAAATGCCTTCAACTAATGCAGTCAGAGCAAGCATGTGAAATACAGCACACTTAAACACAAAACCTGCTTATGGGTGTGTTTATATGAAGTATAATAAGTTCCGTACTGTTTGCACTCCTTGGTACATGTACGGAGGTCGTTTATGGCATACCTAATAATTCAGTCCCCACCCAACGTCGTCTTAATAAGCCAGCTGGGAGGTAGTGAGACTAATGTGGAAAACTCCTAAGCTGCCAGTGGGATACCAATTGTCTACTTTATAGCAGCTCTTTGGGAAGCTGGAAATAAATGCCTTGAAGTGGTGGGGTTTACTGAAGCATGGGGAGAGAGGGGTGTTAATTGTGTTTGCAGATGAAGAAGTAAAATGCATCTGAATTGTGGAAGAGCTTACAATAAAACTAGTGACATCCATCCTGGCTGCTTTGCAACTTGGGATAGTAGCTCCCAGTTTCAATGATATTTCATTTAAAAAAAAATACAGTTCTTATATAAAAGAGCAAACCAGCAAGAATTCTAACAGTTAAGTTTGGAGTGACTTGCTACAAAAAAATAGCTGGATAGCTAGCTAGCAGGATATTTCCCAGCAGGAGATTAAGCCTGTAGTACAGTGATAGAAGTTCTAATATGTAATATTTTTGTCATTGCTGTTTAGATTAATTAAAGATTTCTATTCTCTCTTTCTTCCCTCACGTCTAGCAAAACTGTACAATCTAAAGTGGACTGCATTTTGGTAAGTACAACTCCAGAATGCTTTTTAATATTTAATAATCTGCAAGACCAAAATAGATGGCTGTGGGGACTGACAGCTATCATGAAGCCTTTCCTTGGCAGCGCTTTAAGGTACTATCACTAAATGTGATCAAAGTCAGTTCCCATTGCTAAAGACATACATGATGTGGGTTTGGTGTTTGTTTTCTGTGGAAGTATTGACCCCTCGTTGCCAGCAGCAAGTGGCTGTGATTGCCACTCGTAGAACTGTCAGTGCAGATACAGCACAGAAAGGTGACTTACTCCATTTGTAAGGATGGTTTTATTAAATGCAAGATTATGTATTGCACAGATCAGAGTATGCGAGAAGCTAATTGTGCCTTCAAGTTCCATTGCTCTTTGGGCCTTTAATGACAATGATTATTGCTTTTGTTGTTGTTTCCTTGAAACAGTTAATTCATGGCCCATACTACATTTTGAGGAAGGAACTAGATTGAACTGCATGTTTGCACAAAACCTGGCAGACTGATGTCCCGGTCTGTGAAAATCTTGCAGGTGTCATAACTATCAGATTTCTGGTTTTTTTTAAATCTTGCTAACTTCAAAAGTTGCACACCATCTCAGGTAGCTTCCCAGAAATGTGCAATGTTTAGCTCCGCTGTACTACTTAGGACAGAGAGATTATATCATTTTTTGAAGAAGGAAAGCCCTTGAAATGCATAAACATCATCTTCCTTTGTGCGTTAAAATAACAGGATCTAGACAGTGATAAGAGATTATTTCTGGGAAGTAAATATCTCGCACGAACTCGGAAAGATATTTCATTTTTTTGGTTTTAATAGTGAGCAAGTTGCAAGTTTCTGAAAGCCAGAGTGTGAGTTCATAAATCTTAAGACGGGAGGGGACTTCATATTCTGACTTTCTACCTTCGTTTCATGCAGAAGTGCCAGGGGGTGAGATAAAAGATGACATAGACAACCATCTGGATACTATCAAATAGAATCTGTTCAACTGTACGGCTGAGCTAAATAAGAATACTCCTTAAAGTCACATTATCAAAGGCTCATTCAGATGGCACTGAATTCTCTTTTCTTAGAATGTGGTCTTAATTTATTGTGGTAAGAGGTTTAAAATAAGCTGTGTTCTTGTATTGCAAGCAAACTTTGGACCCAAGTCTGCCTATGCTTAAAAATTCTTGAATGCATCCAACTAAAATAGCAATGCAAAATGTCATTTTTGTCCAGTTTATTCCGCATTGACATTTGTGGACACAAAGCAGGTGTCTTAAGATCTGAGGGTTTTTTGTATGTGAGTCTTCAGTGGCAAAAGCGCACTTGTAAGACTCTAAGACCAGTTTTTTCTGTGTTGAAAAATGGGAAGTGGAGGGTAGATGTTCCTAAGTAGCATCGGAGAGGGAGTAAATAAGTAGGAGGGTAACCAGAAAAATGGAATTAAGAAAATGGAATTACAGTAGGACTGTTCTTGCACAAAGTTTTGCAGATTTGTGGACCCTGGGTACTGAGGTAGGGATGATCAGTTTGTATGAGCCCATTCATTTGTGCAGGTCTTACCCGTTGGGTGGACAAGCTGTTTTTCTGAACAGTGCTCTTGGACGCGAAGCGGTCTCCGTAGCTTGACCTGGAACAGAGCGGCAGTGTCCTGATGGTCCAATTTCCTGCTCCAGATGCCTGCTTGGCTGTCCTGCTGATGAGTTCAGAGGAGTCCTGTCGACAGTGGAAAGGTCACTCTGGGTTAGCAAAGGTGGATCTAATGTTCTTCAGGTAGTCTAAAAAATGAAAAATCCAAGATCAGAAGGGAAATAAAAATTCAGCTGAATTCTGGAAAAATGGTTTCTGCATTTTTGCATTCTTTTGGAAAATTGTGAGCTGCGAGACAGAATCTGAAAGCAAGTTAAACTAAAAGGCTGTGACTATGCAGCTCTGAATAACTTGTGTGGAGCTTCCTTGCAGGCCTGTCCAGTTTTGTCCTGCAGAAGGTAGATGAGCAGGTTGCCTCCGGTGGAACGTGTATGGGTTTGTCGGAGCGGTGCTGTGATTGGGGTACCAGCTGCCTGCAGAAAGCCCGGTGCCAAGCTTACGGGCTGCTCATAACATTTCCTGAAAGTGCACGTTCGTACTTGTTTGGTTCAGATGGAAGCCTTTGCAGGGCCTTTGAATCAGTCTCAGGAAGCACAAAGGGACAGTGTCTGTCCCTTGTCTCCCTCCTTACTGTAAGGAGGAGATTTGGGACTAGCTTTCAGTCACATTGGGAAGTGCTGATGATACCTTAAAGCATTTAAACTTGATCAGTTTGCTAGCAATCTTCAGAGAAAAAACCACCAGTGGAGAAAAATCAGACTCCGCTTGTTGCCGTTTGCGTTTGGTAGCACCAGTCACAGCTGCAGTGTGCAGAGCCGCACACAAATGCTCTTTAGCACGTAGACTGCCTAATTCGGGATAGGATAGCGGGAGAGAGAAGTAGGCAGGAGGGACAGAGGTGATGGCAGGAGTCTTTGCTGTGGAGGTAGCTAGCAGCAGAGGACTATGGAAAACAGTATGAGGGCACTGGGGCTGCAATTACTCAGACCGGAGACCAAAGTTACCTGCCTTTTACTTGTTGTACTGCACCACTTACATTCTGACATACTGTCAGTTTGTGGAAGATCATAAGAAAATCATTGTATGCTGTGCAATCCAAAAAAGATAATTAGCAAGAATTGTGGTGTAAACAGCCATTAAAAATTCATTATAACATCTTTTTAACTGTAGTAAACATGTCTAGCAGTAGATTCTCTTATGACTTCACTTGTTTTCTTTGTTGCCACATACTAAGTGAACTCTTGAACCTGGTTTTGAAAATGGTATGCTCTGTAGAATTGCTCGAGCTGCTGATGGCTGGAGGAGTTACGGTGTGGGCAGCAGCAGCAGCGTGTACGATCTGTTGAAGCCATGTGCCGTGGTCCTGCAGCAGCAGAGGTGGTAGCTTGTCCTTGTCTTTTTTGGCCCTACAGGAGATAAGCAGAAGCTCTATGAAGCTTTGGCAGCTGTGCTTGGACACCATCGTACAAAGCTGCCGTGTGTTTTTAGGGCTCGCTTGGAATATTTAGCACCTGATTAGCAGTTTTTTAGAAAAATAGGTTCTGTTTCAAGTATTAGCTATTTTCTGTCTTGATCACGTTTCCAATGAACTGTCTGACCTTGAGCAAATAATTTAACCTTTGCTTCTTGTTTCTCTGCTCACAAAGTGGGGAAATGGTTGCTTGACTACTTTGCTATTCTTAGTCTGGGTGTTAAATAATAGATGTTTGTTCTGCTGAAGTATGAAGAGTTTTAGAACCAGTCTGCCAGTAGGTGCAAGTTACATTGCTATTGGCATAGCCTTTTTTACTTCGATTATAGTTATCTATAAATACTCAAAATATGGAAAGAAACATTAAGATCAGTCCATCCTCTCTGAAATAGTCTTGCAAAAAGCTTGCAGCAGTGCCTTTGGCCTTCAGCTTCTCTTCACCAATACTCGAGGACAGAAATAACCTGTAATTCAACCTTCATTGTGGAAATATGAAATAGTTCAAATTTCAGTGCTGTTTTTCACTGTGTTCCTTGGAGAAGTTGTAATTCTGCTAATTGTTCCTTGGCATATTCTTCCTCTGTCTTATTTAACGTTTGGCCTGACTAAATATTTTCTTCTTTAAAACATTCCAGAAAAAGCACATTCCCTGGAGTTTTCCCATGGTAATCCCTTATGACAACTCTAGGATGAAACTTCACTAATGTTTGTGACCTGACAGTAGATCAGCAGTCGGAGAAAACCAGACAGAGAGTGCCAGTCCACCAAGGTCAGGAAACCTTAAATGGTACTCTGTGATTCTGGAGACTCATGCTCCAGTCTCTAGGTTCTCTGGTTCAAGCAGGAACATGAATAAACTCAGGTTTCCTATAACACAGGTGAAGTCCTTAACCACATTCAGTTTGTCTCTTTGTGCTGCGAAAAGTTGCAGTGTCTAGTTAGTGTCTCTCAGAATGGAACCAGATGTCAAAATCTGCTATTTTCATGTTAAAAAAAAACCCACAATGTTTTGGCCATCCTGGTTTATTTCACAGCTGTTTATTTGCTCAGTCAAAGTGCCTGTTAGAATGAAAAAGGAAGTGGACTCTGTTCGTAGGAGATCCTTGTTCTGTGTCTGTCATGGGCAGCAAAAGGACAGATTATTTGGAGCAGATCTGTGTGGCCGCTGGTAATGCAAATATAAATGGATCTCTGGTTTAATTTTTGCCACATAATTTGTGCATTTCTTTAGTGAACTTTCTATATTTGGTAACTGTCAAAACAAAAGTATCAGAGGTTTCTGTTCCTTCATAAGTTACTGAAACTCATTACTTAACTGTGACTTGAGGTTTCTCATTCTTTGTCCTTAGTTTTTCTGTCTCAGAATATAAGATTACTCAGATAGTTCATGTATTTTTTGGCTAAATTGAAGCCAAGTTGTGGAAAGAAGTATGAACACTGCTTGCTGCCCATCTTCACTGAATCTTCCTTTATTTAATGTGGTTCCAATTACAGGAGATAAATATAATGTGTGAAAACCAAGAGTAGCAGAGGTGGTGCTTTGTGATGGCTTTACACCTCAGTCCTGCAAGCAGTTTAGCGTGCTTATGCATTTTTGTAATGCATCTTCAAGAAATACGGTGTATGAATCGCCTTTGGAGAACTGGGCAGTCTTCACTGGTTTGATAGAACCACTCAGTCAAGATCAGGAAACTTCAAGAAAAATTTTTACTTAGGTCCCTTTGAGTAGGGGAAAAGGATTCCACAGACATTTTAAGTTCTGCATGGGTTTTAAAACTACTGTAGCATAAGCTTTAATGGGCTATGCAAAGGGGAATTTGTCCAGGATGATGCCAGCATCACAGTCTACCTTTTGATGCTGTGACTTTTCCGCTCTATTGACCTATTTTTTTCCACACTCGACCTGTTTGGGGAGTGGGGTGGAGAAAATTTACAGTAGATTTTGTGTTCTTCTTTCTTTTTCTTCATTTTCATATGCATTTTAGCATCTCAGCACAAATAAAAACTCGGGATGAATGAGTAGGCCAGCTGAAATGTTCCTGCACTTTCCCAAATTCTTTTCTGATTGCATAAAGAAATTTGAAAGTTTTGATACTTTGAAGAGTTGTGGTAACAGACTTATTGGTGAATTGACCAGACCTTTAGCACTGAGAAGTGGTGGTTGTTGGCCGAGATTGAAGAAGAGAGTGTACTTACCAAGGTTGTAAACCAAGTTTTAGAGCTCTAGAAACATTCAGAAAAAACAGCTTAAACAAAATACAATGGTTAACCACTTCTAAAATGTGTTTCCTGAATCTACTTGCACTGGCTGTCACACTCCATCCCTTTGCTGCCACTTCTTCAGTTTTAAGATGATTTTCTCTAAACAGATTCTGTCTCCTCTAATAAGCTTAGGTTTATCTAATTATCACCCAGGTAGGATTACCTCCGTGAACTGCCTGCAACTCCTGGCTGCGGGTTAACTCTCCTCTTTCGAAGAGGGGCTTCCCCACAGCCATCGCTGGGAGCTGGAGGACCTGGACAGAGTGTGCTGCCTGGGGCCAGGCATGGCGAGGAGTGGGTTTGGAGTGAAAACAGTGAGATAACATCGCTGTCCAGCTGCTTCTGCGGAGGGTGCGGGAAAGCCCTGATGTTCAGCTGCCCCAGCTCGAGGGGTGCAGTTTTGCTGATGAGAGTCTCTGGCTCGCTTGCATCCTTTGGAAAAAGCTCTGCTAACACCATCCCAGTAAAATTTTTTCTCTACCCATGTATCATTGGGGTGTTTTGCTGTGGTTTTTTTTTTAATTCGGGGGTTTGATGGGCGGGGCCCGTGTAGCAGAGCCTCCATGGCTCAGGCAGGGCCCTTCCACACAGCCCCTTGCTTCTGCCAGCACACAGCAGAAGCTGCTTCAGCTGCAGTGGGCACTGAGGCTACCACAGTATGTGTTGATGAAAGGTTTAATGTTTCTTCTAAAACCTTGCTTGCTGTGTTGCGCTCCAGCACATTAGATTTTGAAGTGAGAGGTTGTCTTCCACCTCAGTCATTGGGAGTATATTTGGTTTTTTTGCCCAGGATGCTTTTGACGCATGGATGAGTGCTTGCCATGCACGGTAATCTCACCCAAACTGTGTCCTCTGGTGTGCTGCTTTGGCATTTGCTGTTTAAAACAAAAAGCAGCTAAGTCCCTCGCAGAAGAGGAGGTCTCATAAACATGTGCAAATTTTCTTGCAGTTGTTGAACTTCTATCTTTTCATAAATATATGATTAATTTTCTGTGCATTCTTTCTTTGAAGAACATTGAGTAATGGGTTTGTTAAAGGAAAACCCACCAGAACAAATTCAGCGATCTATGCAGGAAAGCAAGAACACAGAATTGGACAAAACGCACCCGTTAGAAATACCTTTCTGTATCTTTGGTGGTCTGAGCACCACTGCTGCGTAAGCTGCTGTAGAGCTGTGCAGAAATTAGTGTCAGCACATTTCAGGAGTTTGTCAGAGGGGAAAAAAAAAACCACCCAATGTTGTGGTTTGCTGCAGCTTTGTAAAAGCAGCAAATCCCGTGTCTGTTACCTGGCTGCTGCTGGAAGCGTTTCTCTTGGCTCCGAGCGTGCCTGTCACATGGCTGGTGGAGCAGTTTTGGGGTGGGTTGAGATGGGGGGACGTAGCAAGCCCAGCCTCTGTCCCCCCAGGCCCTCCCCCAGAGTCAGGGGTTGGGGGGGGGGACACACCCATGCCTGGGCGCAGAGCTGGCGGCAGGGAGGTGGGACCTCACTGCTCACAAGTACTGCTGTTAATTTTGTGCCAGCTGAAGCGAGGTGGATGTGGACATGACTGGGGTGGGAAGGGAACCCTGGTTTTAAGTGAAGTTCAGGTTGAGAGTTTCCCCGCTCTCTGTTCTGCTCATTGCTGGAGTAAACAGCCAGGTCTCGCTGCTTGTGGGTCCCGCTCGCTGCTTTTCTCTTCCTTTTGGAAAAGGTTACATTGGCAGTAAGACGCCTGTGAAGGAAAAGAGAATCAACGCAATCCAGAAGCTGTATTCTGAGTTGAAAAGGGATCATGGGAGTCTCTGTCTCTGCACTGGTGGTGCACCACCTCATGCAGTGCTGCTGCAGCATCTTCCTGATGGAGAACCCATTTGCTCCTTGTTGCACGGCTTTACTCCCGCTGCTGCTGAGCAGGCCTGAGCGTGTTACCGCAACTGATTTTCCTCATGTTTCTAAGTCCGTGTAGCTGGTTTCAGATGACCAAAAGCTAGTTTGTATGTAGCAACAACAGGTAAAACTGCTTTGTGTCTGATCCTCAGCTGGTATCCTCTGGAGGAGGAGTTCAGCGTCACTGAGGTTCACGTTAACTGCGTGGCTTCTCTTCAGTAGCTGTTCAATGACTCTGATTTCCAAAGGAAACCAAAATACCATGTACACAGATAGATTTTAAAGCATCTTCATTGAAGTCTGTGATGCTTAACTATTAATACATAGTGGATTATGGGATGATGTCTGACATCCTGCGTTGTTACAGCATAGCTATTTTTGATGCTGTGTTCTCAGAGATGCTTCATGTGTGCTCTGAGAAGATAACATTTTCATGTTACGTGGCTGGTTACAGAAGTGATCCGTTACTGACATTTTTTTCCAGATTCTGTTTCTGTTTTTGTTGCATGTGGATTTTGTAACGGTGACCAGCACTTTCTAGTGCGTGGTGTGTGCAAGTAAAATAGAAAATCATGTTTCTGGTCCCAGACTGGTCACAGTCGCATTCTTTCACAGAAGTAAATATTGTCATATCATTTAGGAATACACTGTCGCATAAAAATTTTCAGCTGTCAAGCTCAACTCTTATTGTTTGCTTTTTCTTCCCCTGCCTCCCTCACCCTTTGTTATCTAAAACACCTTTGTTATCCAGCAAGAAGTTGAGAAGTTTACAGACCTAGAGAAACTCTACCTCTACCTTCAGCTGCCTTCGGGTCCCAACAATGGAGACAAAAGGTATGTGTGTGAGTGTGTGAACGTGAGCAGCTAGTATGGAAAACTTTTTTTACTTCCTGTAGCATTTACCCGCTGAGGAACCATTCACATGACATGTTTGGTAGCAGAAGCAGCCTTTACTAAACATTAAGGACTCTTCTTTTCCTGACGATTGGTTTTGGGTTTTTTTTTTTAACTTTTGAATCTTTAGTACATGAATAGCTTGTAAATATAAACCTCCCAAAATGCAAGAGTCATCAGAGAAAGTGTTTTGCAGACTAAGTGTGATCGTTCCTTTGCTTTTTATGTAGGCAGTGATAATATAGCAACACAAATGTGATGGTGGGGGAAGGAAGGAACTATTGGTATTTCTGGTAACATTTGTTTGACAAAAGGAAGGTCTAGAAAAGCAACATGCAGATCACAACATCACAAATTTAGTATGTGTTCCCAGTAGGATAGTTATAGGCAGACAGGTGCCTACGGGAAGCACTCTGAGCGTCAGCTGGGGAAGTTGGTTGTTTCCAAGGGGCAGCTGGCAAACTGAGTGGGAAAAGCTTAAATGTGGACAGTAAGGAACAGTAATAAGAGGGAAAGTGCGTGAACTCTCACCCATCACTGTCTACTCGCAGCTGTATATCAGTCAAGAACTGGAGTGTGGAGTCTCTGTGTTAAATTGTAGATGAAAGAGGGAGATAACTGCTGCCCATGCCTCAAGCCCAGTAGCTCAACGTGTGAGGTACTGGCCCTCATTGTCTCTGGTGTCCCTCCACCTGTGCAGGCAGACAATTTGAAGTCTTGTGACTGAGGGGGAGCTATGGAGCAAAGTCTTCACTGGCACTGCTTCTTCTTTCACTAGCGATCAGATCTCCATGTCGTCCAGCCGTGCCCAGCAGATGCACGCCTTCTCGTGGATACGGAACACCTTGGAAGAGCACCCTGAGACATCCCTTCCCAAGCAGGAGGTTTATGATGAATACAAGTGAGTGCTCCCAAACTGGACCCATACATACGGCTTTAGCAAGCGTAGATAGTTGTGTGACACTGGCTGTGCAGGTACTCCACCGACGTACATGTGCATATAGCAGAGCAAGGCCTTATGTACTAACGTACCTGAGAACGTACTAGCTACAGTGAGGCAAACCATGTTCGTTATTTCTGCCACTGAAGAAAAGACTGGGATGTTTAAATTGTGCATTACACGTGCTGGAGGAAAGGTACAAGGATTTCTTAAGAAGTAAATATCTGTGTGAATATTGGTTTTGTTTTGTAGACAGAGCGGCACAGGTAAAAAGCACCGTTTACTATCTTGTAGTACTTTGTGGTCTGTTTGCATATACCTATGTATATGACTACTGTAACAAGGGTGAGGGGTTGAATTGTTCCTCCTGGAAATGCAGCCATTTTGTACACAAGATCTGGCCCATCACACCTTTCTTTCCAGAATAATGCATAAATATTGGACCTTCCTGCAGCAAACCTGATTTCTGCAGAGGCACAGTGTATCTGAATATGTATGAAACCAGTAACCAAGGCCGCTGTGAGTCTGTGTTGTCAAGTCTCAAAGCTACCATGTAACAGGAAACTGATTAGAAGCAAGGGAGAGGGAGCTGTCTGACGGAAGTTGGATTTGAATTCATTTACAGAACATTCCCCACGGGGAGGTGGGGGGTGGGTAATCATCCTCAGCCCAGTTGCCTGAAGAGGAATAACAGATTTATGGTCTAGTATGAATATTTCTGTAATCTGAACGATTACAGTAATTTGCAGTGAGCCGAGCCCCTTCACCTCTGAAGTGCCTACAGGATTCAGCCCTTATTAATTGTTATTGCAGGGTTGCCTTCTGCGAATACCTCCTTTTAATTAACTCTCTCTGGTCAAGTTTTTTACTGTGAGCTGAAACGTGATGGCATTCGCTTGCCTGGGGTTGATAAACATGCACACACCTATTTCTGAAATCTGGCCATCGACTGGCACGGTGACGCAGCCTGGAAATGGAGCCAATGGCACAGACGTGCCGGGGTGGCCAATCCCCGAGCAGCAGCCGCGCAGCCAAACCCCCGGGCACCAGCCGCTCACGCAGACACAGCAACAGCGGCAGCTGCTGTGCGGGAGAGAGATGGAAGCCTTATTCTTAAATATATTTCTTATTTAATAATTTATGGCCTGCTTCAGCAACAAATCTGCTTGGCTTCCATGCTGTGCCAAGCTGCAGATGCCCGGAAAAATCATCATCTACAGATTGTGGAGTGTGAAATTTGGATGGCTTTTGTATGTAGCTGCATCAAGTATTTGTGTATTGTATTTTTTTTTTCCTAACAAAGTAAGGGTGGTAAGCAAATATTCAGGAAAATATCAAATGTTTGGAATCTGTTCTCCTTTGAAAGCATCTGTTCGGTTTTTAAAACATTCGGTTTCTTTGAATATTTTCGTGAGTTATTCTTGCACACCAAAGGAAGAGTAGTCTTGGAGTGGGAGGTGGGGAACAGCCATATAAATAGGTAAGAGAGCTAGTTTTGGTTTTGAAAAGTCTTTTTTTACCTAAGTGTTTTAAGACCTCTCAAAACTCACTTCTGCCATATTAACAAGTTACCATTTCTCTCCTCTATGTGAAAAGATAGATGTTGCATGAGCTCACAGCGGGCAAACTTGTGCACTCTGCACCTAGAAATCAAAGTTGCAAGGCTTCAGAAGAGTGCCAGGTCATACCAGCATCTCAGTTCCTGCTGTGAATTTCGATCAAAATAAATCTTGAGAAACTACTGGGCTTCTGCATCACCTTTCTTGTGGGTTTGTTTCTATGAAGAGGGAAAGACAGAAGCTTGCACTCCACACAAGTCCACTGTTGGCAAGCATTGACAGTTTTTCCAGCTCCTTCATGTTTCAGTAGCCTTTTCTCACTGAGCTGGTTCAATGCAGTGACTCTTCTTGCTATTTTCTTACTCTTCTGTTTAGTTGTGAGTTCACATCTCTAACTGGATAAAAGTGAATGGATTCATCTGCCTTTTGAAAGGGATAAAATAAATGAAAAATGCATCGTAATATAAGGCAGTAGCACTTGGGAAGATTGAGAGCTTGCAGCTGAATTTCAGAAAGGAGGTAGCTGAGAGCTGGTTCACTCCCTCTTGTTGATGCTGTGATGATACTTGTGCCAACAGAGTATGTTGAGCTATAAGAAGCTGTGTTTCTGCTGGAAGTTCTTCTGCCAGCTTCCTCTGGAGCTTATGGGGGAACAGAATCTGGAAAATATGAGAGCTCATGGGGAGCTGCCTTAGACGTTGTCTAGCCTGCAGAGAATAGATGCTGCTTCCCATCAAACCCTTCCAATGTTTTCTTGTAAGTCAGTTTTACTTGGGTATCTTCTCCCTGTGAGTAAACACCCCACTGGAGGCAGCCAGGTGTAGATTTAGCTGAGTTTAGAGAATTAGTATTTCGAGTCTAAGTGCAGTCCTGTAGTACTTATCCAGACAAAATCCCTTATTTGCCCACGAAATGATTTGTTGAGCCTTCAGTAAACACTTGGGTCTGCTTATCTTGGTTCTACTGCAGTGACGCAAGGAAAGAAAGTCATTCATATTTAAGTTTGGTGCCCTGAAGATTCACATGATCTGCTTAATATAGATTAGGAGGTCTTTGAGTCAATCTGTATCTCTTTCCTTTAGTCTGTAAATCATTAATCCTTACTTTACGGGCTGCTGGGCCACTTGATGCCACCTGACGCTTAGATTATGTGCAACAAGTGTTAAGGATGTTAACCAACAAGTTAGAAGAAGAATATTCAGAAGCTGGCACCCAAGAGGGCAATAGGTATGGCAATACCATGTCTGTTTAACAAATGAAAGACACAAGATACATACTGATCTGGTTTGATAGGACTTAATCGGTGTTGTTATATAAAACTCCCTGACAGGAACGGGATGGGACCTATTGTGTTGTAAATTCCTCCTCTGTCATAAGCAACTATCTCTATATTCAGTTTAAAAGCCGATCAAACTCCCATCTAAAGCAGTTGTTCCCACCTCTGCTGCTGCTCTTGGGATTCTGACCTGCAATTCCATTTCTCTGATGGTTTTCAGACAGCTGGTTTCCATCCTGCCTGATTTTTAGGACTCATTTCTGTGCCAGTGTGCTCATCAGCTTAATGAGAGCCTACCTCTTCCTAAGATTCTTCGCTCTAACCGATTTTTAGAGATCAGTTGCTTTGCTGGATTGGATAAGCCAAGACCTTTGTGTCATTTTGTGCAATAGATTCTTTATCATTTGCTATTCATAATAGGTTATTTTGCCCAGGAAGCCATGTAAGCTGGGCTGCATAGCCTGCCTGTCATTGTTGGCTTTTTGGTTAATCTTTTTTGTGGCTTAATTCAGGTGCACTGCCAGTGTATTTTAGGTCTTGAGTACATTTAATGTGAAGATCTTACAAAAAAAAAAAAAAAAAAAAAAACTTTTTGTACAAAGGAGTGTAAGCAGCCGTGTCCCCCTTGTCATTCCTGTCTCTGTGTAGACCTTCCCTCCCCCATCCCTTTCCCACCCACCCTTCAAATAAGGAAAACAACTCTGGGCTCAGCGATGTGCCAAGAGTGCAAGTAGCAGAGAGAAGAGCTTCAGGGAAGAGACTCCTGGTCTGTGTTGTCAAGTCAATAAGAGACCACAGATGGACATGGAGGGTTCTCGGCTGAGCCAGGAGGAGGAGGGGCCTTGTGGGATGATCTGTCTGAAAACTGAAATTACATGATAACAATAACAGATCAGAAATCACAAGCTTGCAGGAGCTGCCAGTATGGGTACGAGGGGACTGTGTAACTGCATGTTTTGCTGCTAGCAAGTAATTGTCTTGAAACAGATGTGTTGGACTTGAGGAACTGATTTTTTTTTTCCCCTTTTTTATTTGTTTCTTTTCTCTTAGAGAGGGAATAATTTTAACTTTATTGATTGGTAGGTCCCTAATCCTGTTGTTTGCTGGGTTATTTTTTTTAATTTGTTTTGCTGTCATTGTTGAGTTTCAGTAAAGATACTGCTGACCGTGGCAGAGAAATTCAGAGAGCCCTCCTTTGCGTGCTAGTTGAGACTTAAAAGTCCTGTAATCAGCATCAGTAAGCGACAAAGACCCACCTTTTAGGAATTTGCAGAGTAAAATTAAAAACCATTGGAGCTTGACAAGATGTAAGGGGAAGAAAGGCACACAGAGATCTATCTATTAGATGTAAAGCAATGTCTGATTCCTAAGAGGGTGCAGGGAGGCAGGAGAAGTATTCCTTTGTATTAACTTCAAAGGGAGATAGCCAGATTCTGTGACTGACACACACTGAGATGAAATATGTTGGTATACGAGTTGGATTGAGAACTTCTGGATGTCCCCTCCAGAAACTAGACTAATGGCTGACTGTATACCAGGTTGCAGGCAACATCTCCTGGTTTGGACAGAGTGGCCCAATAGCCAGGGTAAGCAGGTGCACACAGGCTCTGCAGGGAAATGTCAGAACCAAATAGCATGAAAGTTGCTGTTTATCATCATCAAAATCCTGTACATTTGTGATGCCTTCCAAGTGGAGGATACCTACATAGAGCCAAGGTAAAAGCAGCAGATACTTGCTCTGTAATAACTAGTATTTTTACGGAGAGAATAAATGCAGTGGAAGCATCTTGAGAAATAGATACTGCTTTCTGTAGAGCTAGAGTTTTCAGAGAAGAAGTTTTGACTGGCCTACTTGGATGCAAATGCCATTGCTAATTGTTACTGTTTTTACTAGGTAATCCTGGAAATAAAACGTCTGTTTCAGAAGTGCTGCTTTTTCTTTTTCTTCCTTTATGAGCAGAGATTTGTTTGCGTGTGCGTACCTGATGAGAGTAGCAGGTGATATGGTGTATGAAGGTGCTGTTGTTCTGCTCTCCAGCTGATGCCCACAGAGGAGCGTGTACAGTCGCCTTTTGAGAGGCAGGTTGTTTCTGTGTGCTGCTGGTAGGACTTCTCACAGGAAAGGAGGTCGAGTATCCAGTGCCGACTCTGTGACTGTGGCAAGCCTGAATGAGAATGCTTTAATGGTATGTTTTGGGCCTTAGCACGTTAAGGTCTGTGAAATACCACAAGACTCTTGAACAAAGGGCAATATGGCATTCATGTTTTTGCGCAGCCTTACGCACTTGCTGTGTAGGTAAACCTTCCGGGGCGGTTCCCGGTTTTCTCTTCTGCTTTCACATTTGTGATTTTCCGGAACATTCACGTTCTGCAGCAAAATCAAAGATTCTTGTCCTCTGCGTCAAGGGGATACTTTTTTTAATACCTTAGAAGTTGAAACATCTGAGTACACATTGAAACAAAATTCCTTCTGCTGTTTTTGAGAACTGAAGGCAAGTAACAGTGTCTATTTTACTAGAATAAGTAAACTTAGCAAAATAATTACCATTTGTTGCTTTATTCGCCTCTATTATCAAGTTGTACACTCAGCTGCATGAAGATCTATGTTTGCAGAGGCAGCTGAAATCTCTGTTAATTTAGGACTGTTATAAGGATGTCTATAATTTAGCAACTTTCATAGTTCAGTTGTGGTACAGTGGTAAGAGGACTAGGTCCTCAGTACATGTTTATGTTCCACCTATAAAGGTGAAGCTGGTTCCCTGGGAAGGTATGTTCTATGAAATTCAGTTCTGTTAAGCGCTATTAAATTGAGGTTGTGTAGGCAGAGTCTTGCTCTGGTCACTGACAAATCTCTTACCTATGGCTTTTCAAATATTCCTGCAGGACTTCAGGCCTTGCCACACTCAAGCTATACTTCTGTCTAGAGCAATGTCTCTGCTTTTATTGTGTCCTAAAATAAGTGAATTGAAACATACGCTTCAAAGTAAGTTGTGGAGTAAATCTTAACTGTGCTCTAGATAATGCCACTACTTGTTATGTCTCCGCATGACTTGTCTTTGAACTCAGTAGAGAACAAGGCAAAAACTATGGTATTAATAGCTCTGTTTATACATTTTTAATGCATTCAATTCATTGCTGAGAGCTTCATTAATGTTAAATGTGGTTCTAAATATGGATGGGTATAAGTGTTTTCTTTTGAAAACCTTTGATGGAGTCTAGCATGAGGGCTGGCCTCTTGTATTAACTGTGATTCCATTCACGCTTTCTTTGTTTTTGTTGCAGGAGCTATTGTGACAATCTTGGCTACCACCCATTAAGTGCTGCTGACTTTGGAAAGATCATGAAAAATGTCTTTCCAAATATGAAGGCCCGTCGTCTAGGCACAAGAGGCAAATCAAAATATCCTTTGCTAGAACGCTTCTCTGTAACATCTTCTGCACTTGCCTGGAGAACATCTGTCATTATGGCTTAACTACCAGCTAAATGTAGAAGTAATGTTGAATAAAAAATGCAGACACTTTCCCAACATTCTTTAAAAATTTTTAATTGCAGTACTGTTAGGTTGCAAGATATAACTTCAGAAACAAATACTTAAATTTAGGTTCTGACGCTTAGTTGTCACAGTAGCGAGGAATCAAAGAAGTTTTATCATTCATTGCAAAGGGAGATCCTGGAATGAAGGAACTTGCCTTATATATGTGCAATAACTAGTATTTTATCAGTAGTACAGCTCAGTTATCAGAACACTTTTTGCTTCTGTGTTATACTTGTGCACACCAGTAATTTAAAAGTTAGTTGTAAAGCCAAAGATCCTTCTTAAGCTGTGCTACAGAGAATTCATAAAACTGTCTCTCCTCAACCATTAGGAGTGCTTGAGAAAGAAGAGGGAACTGGGAAGTCATCATAAAAGCTGACTTCAGGCTTGGAAGGCATGATCCGAGGCTTCTCCTGCCATCAGAGAGGGGAGACAGCTTCCTTCACTGCGTGGTGCAGGCTTCCTGAGATAGGAAAGACGATTCTGAGCAACAGCTTCTAGGATGGGGAGCACTGTCTCTCTCTCTTGACTGCAGAGTCTTGTTCCCTGTGCCCAGAGTTGGAATCTGCTTCCTTCCCTCCTTTCCTGTGTTAGAGAAATAGTCCATCCCAGAGGGTGTGCAAAAACACTACCCCATTTAATTGTAACTTAATACAAGCCTTAAAGTACTTAAAAAACCTGATGTTGTCATAGTGTAAAAAGACATAATTGTTACAGGCGGAGCGATACACAGTTACATCTTGGGACAGGTTAGTTTATCAATTAATGGGCAGCCACTGTGAAGAATTCAGGGAAAATACTGTGCAAAAGAGTATGCTCATAGCACTGGTGGTTCTGCTGCTGCAGTATAGGGGCAAGAAGCTCTGCTAGGAAAGAAATGCAATAATGAAGTCTAAAGGCTACAAGAATGTGAATTTTTCTCAGGCTTTTTTGAGACTGAGCTGTAGTTCGTCTAGTCTTTAGCATGCTGAGTCTTCCATTAAAAAAAACAAAAACTGTTACTGATTTTTAAAGTCAGTAGTTTTTTCATTAGTAAGAATTTTGTATTTCCAAGTTAAGAATTACACCTTCCCTTGAGAATCGTTGGAAGCCATCATGGAGTAATGTAATGCCTGCTGCATCCCCCAGGGTCGGTGCTCGCTCCTTTCCAATGTGCTGGGTAGGCTAAGCCACTGCAGTAGGCACGGGAGGGAGAGCAGCAAAAGGCCGAAAGTCATCAAGGTGCTTGTAGGCTCTGATTAAAAACCACTCAAAAGAACCATCAGTAATGATACGGACTCACTGTAATGCTGGTCTTTGCCAGGGTCTCACCTGAAGCGTGCAGTTACAGAGAGGGTTAAATGCTAGCGGGCATCCCAGAGTGACTGGTCTTTCATAGAGACAGAAACCTTCCGTGCAGTAGTTAATGGAGAAGTCATGTGTCTGCTATATTGTTTCATAGAATACAGTGTTGGACTATCAAACAGTGGAGTGCAAAACTTAGTAGTAATGTTCTGGATAGAGCTAGAGAAGCTTTAAGGAAGAAGTTGTGTGATCTAATTGTAGCTTGACCCAGGGGATCTCTTTCAGTTCTGTTTCATAAGTTTTAAATTCAGAATGGTTAAAATGTGACCTTATCTCACACTTACCTTAATACCTAGCCTCCTTACATTTGTTTTACTGTAATTATGCTCCTTCCAGGTTAATGCAAGCAAATGCAAAAGCCATGGTCTAGGAAAGAGAAATAGACATATTTACAGAACGTGAAAAATTAGTGATCCTGAAAAGGGTTTCTGTGTCACGGAGAAAAGACAATGTATATGAACTCCCACAGTAATGCTGTGGAGAGGAAAAAAGGCTGATTTGATTTTTAGACCTATAAACAAGGGAGTAGGAGTAATGGAGGGAGTGTAATTTTGTGTACTGATTTAATGAGATCAGTGTAAGAACAAATCTGAGTATTTGCATCCATTTTTTTACAGAAGAAGAATTATCATGGATGGGGAGAGATTCACAAATATTGTGTGACATTTTTGGAAGAAATATCAGCCATTTCATCTTGTCATGGGGAACTTCTTCAATTTGTGGAAGTCCCTTAGGAGAAGGAAATGTCAGGAAATTTAGCAAAAAGAGTCAAAAAAGAACTCAAAGTAAAACCAAAATTTGGGAGCATGGTTTTTAATAGTGATTAACTTTTGAAAATGCATTCTCCATCTGGTTTTAGGCCCATTTTAGGAGTTTAGTCCAAATTTATGTTGATGATTTAAATATCGAGTAGCTGATTGAAACTATTTCGCATGATTAAGTGGTGGTTCTAGGCCATCAAATGAAATTCATCACAGCATCACTTGCTCCTCTGCATGGATGGAGGAGCCCAGTGACCTGCCCAAGAACACAGCCATTTACATAGGCTCTTGCTTCTGGCTGGCTGTGGGACTGTCTTAATGGCAGTAGTTCTTAGATCTGTTGTTGAGTTTGCTTACAAAGCTTACGAGGGGTATCGGAGGAGTTACTGCCCTTCCTTCCTTCCTATCCCCCAGCTTACAGGCAGAGATAATTTAGTCCTTAATTCTTGTTCACATATTGCTACAGTGGACTGAGGAAGAAGGCTTTTGTGCATATGCCAACACTGCCCAACCTTGACTTTCATAAAACTGGAGATGGGGTATGATATGTACTTGCTTATTTATATGTATTTCTGCAAAGTGACATTTATTACATTGGGTTTTTGCCTGAAGTTTTCAAAATAAAGAGCTGTGTAGTGTTTAAGATTGTTGTTTATGATACTTACACTCTGAATCATGTTGTGATGTTTTTCTGTAAAGCTCAGAACGAATTGCAGTGCTGTTAAAAAAACTGATTTAGAAGGTGAAGCAGACTTTCACAGTGTTGCCACCCACAGGCTCTGTCTTTTTTAAATGATTCTGTTTTGGTTTTACTGGGGTTTTTTTAGTTTGGTGTTTTTTTTTTTAAAGTCAATGCTAGGGAAGAGGAACCCCAGTGAAAGAAGCAGTTCCTGGGTAACAGTGGCTGCTGAGTTGACAGGACTCTGGATGCAGGGAGCATCAGGTGCTGGTGGTCCGGATATTAGGGTTCTGTCCATGATTTTCTTCAAGAAATGTCAGCTCCGTATAACGCCTTTGGAAACAACCAGTAGATTAATGTTAAGACATTTCATTTTGGATAGTAGTGATGTTGTTGTGATTGCGTTTTCCCAATTTCCTGAAAAACTGTGAACATACTCAACTTCTTGTGTGTTTCTGATCATTGTTTGCTCTGTATTTTTGTTTCCATGCCTTAATGACCCTTAATAATTAAAGTAATCTCTCCTCCTTTGTTTGTTTTAGTTGGATGGGGCAGAGCCGTCTGGACAGCTGCAAAATGCTGATGAGGAAGTTGTCTCTGCAGCCTGCCGGCTTGTTTGTGAATGGGCCCAGAAAGTGCTGAGCCAGCCTTTTGATACAGTCTTGGAATTGGCTCGTTTCCTTGTAAAAAGTCACTATATTGGTACCAAGTCAATGGCAGCTTTAACAGTAATGGCAGGTGCACCAGCAGGTAAGGAGATCGCGGAATGCTGAATGGGTGAAATGGGGGATCTTTTTTTAAAGAGTAAGAGCATCTTGGTCTAAGGAACCACATCTCTTCAGGGCAAACTTGGAGCACGGACTCTCAGCGCTGAGCATACATTACCTGGTTTTAGTCCACAGTGCTGCAAATAGCTTTTCTTGTTGCTAGTCTGGGTAAAGAGATCTGAGAATAAGCAGCGGTCTCGGGTTTAGTTTGTGATTGTCCCGGTTCTCCGATGAGGACCCTGGTCTCCTAAAGCATTTCAGGGCATGTGAGTAATGGTGCTGAATTTATGCTCTTTGCTAGAGCAGGCATCTGGTACAGTGCTGGTTTATAGACAAACTGCTGAAGTAGCTGCCTTTCTGTCTGATAACTTGCCCTAATTTGGAAACAATTGTCTGTCTTAATTTTCTCTCAGGAGCAGATTTTCTTACAGGCATTTCTGATATGTCAGATGCAAATTTTCTGGAGACGTTTGATCAGTGTCAGGTAGTACAAGCATGTCAGCTGCCGCTGTTATTGATCATGTTAGAAATAAGGGCTTGAGGGGCAGTGAGAGGGTCAGGAGAGCCTTCTCCGGGGGCAGTTGTGTGACTGAAATTCCAGCACTCGATTTTTAATCTTTAAGGATTGAGGTAAAGAGAAGAGTTATTTTGTGTTTTGCTACATCAGAGGAATTCCTGTGCTACTCAGTCTGTGGGAAAGCTTAAATTCGATGTAGTTGTTTGTACATCTACTTTTGTTTTCTTTGTTTTCCTCTTCATGCTCAAAATCAGTCACTTAATCATGTAAAGTGTTTTTTTGTGGCTGTGGATGGAGTACATTACAAAAATGAGGGATGAGGAGGGAAGCTCAGGTACACAACATGCCCCCCCTGACTTCCCTCTGGGAGGTGCTGCCCAGGCCTGTCAAGCAGAATGTGTTTGGACCAAGGCAAATCTCTTGACTTGAGACAAGCGATTCCAAATGGAAACTGGTGGTCAGGGCTGTATGTTGGGGTGATCCCTTTCTGGATCGTGTTCTTTTTCCTTCCAGCTCTCTTTCCTATGTTGCAGCTAGGAACTGACGGGTGGCAGTGGCAGGTTTGCTGCCTGTAAGCTCGTTTTTTACCTGTCGTCGCTTGGCTTCATTGGTTCTGCTTGCCGTGCTACTAGAAGGGATGCTAGTTATATGTACAGCTCTTCAACTCATGTAGCTTCTCCCCCTTCCTGCTTCAAGAAACGATGGCTTCCTTCGAGGAAAAGGGCAGTTATTTCCAGTGCTTGCCTCTGTGGCTTGGATAGTCATTTCAGGAGAGATTCCATCTAGAATGGGAAATAAAATACTCCCATTCCTCTTCATTGCAAGGAATTGTGCTGTGCATTAACTGAGGAAAAAGCAAACTTTTACCCTCAACGAAAAATTTGTTGAGGTTTTTTTTTCTCATCAATGTTACTTGCCTTCAGTATTCAGCCCACGTAGATGACTTGTTTCCCATAATAGCAATATACTTGGGCATTTCACTGCTCTGTGAAGAAGGAATTGTGAAAGTAGAGACATGTTGTGGTGTGCAAGCTCTTGTGGTACGTGCAGACTGCTGCTGAGAGGGTGGACTCCCAGACCAGCAGTTCGTAAGCGTGTACTAGGTATCTAAACCCAAATACTTGCCCTAAAATGGTGTCTAATTTATAATCAAAAGTTATTTTTTTAAACTGTGAAAGCTGTGAAGTGAAAATGAAACAAACAGCAGGGTTAGTTGGTCACTGAGAGAGCATGCTAATCCTCTTGACTGCTAGTAAACAAAAGATCAGAAATGTGGTGTGGTTTTGTAAGGGAAATTGGTACCAGCTGCACAGATGAGACTAACTCCCTGCTGTTCTCCCTGAAAGCACCACTTGCATGCTTGTGATCAGCAAAGGCATTGTCTCCAGAAGAAGTGTTCTCTCATTCTAATTTCCATAGTTTTTTCACCTTTTCCTCCTTCTTGTTTTGTTTTGTCCCCGGACACGTCTCTTCTTGCCCTTCTTTCACTGTTATCCCTGAACACACACAGGTGGTGACCCATTTTGATATGTGCATTGTGTTTAATGCCTTGGCCATTCGATAGTATCATCTGCTCAGAGCTGCTCCTCTGTGATGCAGACCCGCAGCTTTCTGGGAAAATTTTTCGTTTTTAAAGCTGCCTTAGACGTTGATAACAAAACAAAAACACAGGCGATGATGAATTTGGAAGGTTCATCTAAAACCTATCCGCTGCCCTCTACTGTCAGTTAAATGAAATGCATTGGTTTTTAGATTTTGCTGACACAAAAGTTGCATTTGGGATCACTAGAAAGAAGATGCCAGTACATAGTGTTTTAGCGTGTAATGCCCAGCTTGTCTAACAGAGAGAGGTTTTGCCACAAATGTGGAAATAAACTGAAACACTGACTAGCTCTGAGCGTGAAGTGGATGGTGGGAGCACCTCATGGAGGAGGTGTTCCCAGAATGGCTGTGGAGATGCCTGCTGTCTATTCGGTGTAGTTAGATACAGAAATGGCACTGCAGCAGAGAGGGTATGTGTGGTTATAATTCCTGTGTGTGGTTATACTTCATTCTTCTGTTTTATTCAGGAATAAAAGGGAACCCCCAGCCCTCAGCTTTTATACCTACTGCTGAAAGTAATTCCTTTCAACCGCAAGTGAAAACTCTGCCGTCTCCTGTTGATGCCAAGCAGCAGCTGCAGCGTAAGATCCAGAAGAAGCAGCAAGAACAGAAACTGCAGTCTCCTTTGCCAGGAGAGTCTCCAGCAAAGAAAACGGAAGGCACCACGACCAACGGCGTGACCAGTATATCGAATGGAAGTCCTGCAATTCTCTCTCCTCCACCTATTGGCATTGTTGTGGCAGCTGTCCCCAGCCCAATACCGGTAATGTTCTCCAGCAATTCTCTAGAGAAACCACCTTATGTAAGGGCTATAAATTGTCAGTGACTAAGCAGCAGTCTCAGTGGGATAGAAAAACAGTTTCCCCTCAGAGGTTTGGGTCCCTTAATGCTTTTCTGTCCCAGCAACCATGTTGTACCATAGGAGTTATGGGATCCGTAGAGAGGCAGCAGAATTCTGATCACATAGGCCAAGTTTGTCTTTGAAGTCCTTGACAGTGGGATTTCAGCTAGCAATAATTAAGGTTGTATGTGGGAATAATTGCCCTTGAGTTTAAGTTTAACCACATGAGAGAGCTGACACCAGTTGTGTGGGTCACTAAGCCCCTAGTGTGGAATCTAAATTGCCTTTCATTGGCGCATTTAGTGACAGCAACAATTTTATTTTTGCATGAATGTCTGTAGTATGGAGCATCTTTGTCTTTCAGCCATACAAAACTGGGCGGGGGGGAGGTTATTTGTTTTTAAGATGTTAGCTGTGGTGTTGATTTCAATAGGTAGGCCGATTTTTCCGCCTGATAGTGTTTTTGTATTTAACTTGCTTTTGAAGCCTGAACAGTGAGCAGTATTTTGAGCACAGCCTCTCCTCTTTAACCTTTGTATGTCTGTCTTTTTTTGCCATGTGGTGAAGGATTGTACAAGAATGACCCTTTCATTAGCAGAAGAGCAGACTAGTGTGTAGACCAGTGTCTCATGCCTTGACAAGTGAGGCAGCATATCTGTTTTCCAGTCCTTAGGCAGACAAATAGAAATTGTCTTGTGTATAGTGGAAGAGCTTGTTGTGTTTCCAGCTGACATTCACTAGCTTTGGTGTATTGAGCTGTGTTGTCCTTCGCCTTTGAAGCGGTTGGGGATGAGGTGGTCTGTGGGTGTCGGGGACTTGCTTGCTTCATCGCCACACCTTGTCTTTTTCTCTCTCTACAGGTGCCAAGGACCAGGCAGTTGGTGACATCTCCAAGTCCTGTGGGATCGTCTGATAGCAAGGTCCTGCCACTCAACGTTCAGGTGGTCACTCAGCACATGCAATCAGTCAAGCAGTCACCAAAGACTCCCCAGAACGTTCCCGCCAGCCCAGTTGGTGACCGCTCTGCCCGGCATCGCTATCCGCAGATCTTACCGAAGCCAGCAAATACCAGTGCTCTCACCATCCGCTCTCCCACGACGGTGCTCTTTACCAGTAGCCCAATCAAAACTGTTGTGCCAGCTCCACATGTGAATTCCTTAAATGTGGTAAAAATGACAGCAATATCTCTTGCCCCAAGCAGCAGCAGTGTGCCCGTCAAACAGACAGCTTCAGTTAGCAGTAGTGCCGGAGCAGCGGAGGAAGGGCGGACTGGTCCACAGATCAAAACTGGATCTGTTGTTTCGCTTCAGTCTCCGGGATCCAAGCCTAGCACTGTTGTAGCTGCACCTGCAGTCAAGATCAAAATGGAACCAGAAGCATTGCTGGATGAGAATTCAGTACAGGGCCAAGAGAGCTCTGACGTGTCTAAATCCATAAAGGCAACCCCTGACCTGCCTCCTGCTCAACTGATTAATTTTGAGGTTGCAACCTTGAAGGTTTCAGCTGATGATGTCATGGAGGCAAAACCAGTTAAGGGCTGTGATCAGGGAGCTGAAGAAGCAGGGACCAAATATAAAACACAATCTAATGAGATCACACCAGTTTCTTCAGCAGGCAATAATCAAAGCACTCTAAAGCTCTCAGTTGCCAGTCAGAACTTGTCCAGCACCAGCATTGGTTCACCTCCTACCGGTGAGTCTACGATTAAAGACAAAACATGCACTAAAAGTCCAAGAAAGCGACAACCTTCTACACTTCAGGATTCCCAGGTACCACCTGTAAAGAAACCACTGGTGGAGCAGCTTTCAGCTGGTAATGCTGTGGAGGGTCAAAAAGCAAACAGTGTTAAGAAGTCTCCAAAGGCTGGATCATTAGCTAACAGTGACAATACAGCAACACTTGCTCAAGTTCCCAGCAAGGCACCTGTACCTTCTGCAGCTGCAGCAAACTTAGCGACAGACCTTTCTTTGAGCACCGATTTAAATACCAGTGATTTGACTTTAGGACAGCAGCTTGGATCAGCATCCTCTCCAGATATAAAAGTAAAATTGGAAGGAAACATGTTTATCATAGAAAATGATTCAAAATCTGATGGCAGCTTTAACCCAAATACGTGGCACCATATTGCCAAAACCTCCGACTTTGCATCTGTGAATTGTGAACAGCAGCAGGATATCAGTGTTATGACTATTGCAGGGCACTCTGGCTCTAGTGACTTACAGGAATCGGCATGGGAGCCAGCGCACTGCGAAGGGATACAGCAGGACGCATACAATCAGCAGCTGCAGAGCCAGCTCCAGGACTCCTCCTTGGGTCAGATACAAGCACAGTCTTCAAATCAGTTACCTCTGCAGTCTGAGCTGAAAGAGTTTGAACATACGGTCCCCCAGTCAAATGAAAACTTCTTTTCGTTTGATGATGACCTTACCCAGGACAGCATTGTGGAGGAGCTGGTGCTCATGGAGGAGCAAATGTCCATGAATAATTCTCATCCTTATGGTGGTTGTCTAGGAATGGCACTTCAGAGTCAGACTGCAGCTCCAGGAGCTCCCGTGTCATCTCATCCAAGCAGCACACACTTTTACCATTTGATCCATAACAACAGCACTGCGATTCACACTCCCACCCCCACCCCCACTCCAACTCCCACCCCGACCCCGACTCCAACACCCACCTCTGAAATGATCGCTGGATCTCAGAACATGTCCCGAGAGAGCCCTTGTTCGAGGCTGGCTCAGACAACTCCCGTAGACAGTGCTCTAGGAAGCAGCCGGCATACGCCCATTGGCACACCGCATTCGAACTGCAGACAGTGGTGTCAGCAATTCTTCGGTCGCGAACCATGGCATCCTCACGAGCTATCAGGAGCTGGTGGAAGACCGCTTCAGGAAGCCTCATGCTTTTGCTGTTCCTGGCCAGTCATACCAATCTCAGCCACGCCACCACGATACTCACTTTGGTCGTGTGACTCCTGTTTCGCCTGTGCAGCACCAGGCAGCCCCCGTCAGTAGCACCACCAAGCAAGAGGGCTTTGCTGTTCCTGCTCCTTTGGACAACAAAGGGACCGGTTCCTCTCTCAACAACAGTCTGAGATGCCGGAGCGTGAGCCCTGCTGTCCATCGCCAGCGTAATCTCAGCGGAAGCACTGTTTACCCTGTTTCAAATATACCACGCTCTAACCCGACACCTTTTGGAAGTCCAGTGACTCCGGAAGTTCACAATGTATTTGCTAATATGCATGCAGACACCAGTGCCAACAACATAGCGCAAAGAAGCCAGTCAGTCCCGCTGACTGTGATGATGCAGACAGCCTTCCCGTCTCTGCAGAAACAAACAAACACTAAAAAAATAACCAACGTGTTGTTAAACAAACTGGATTCTGATAGCGATGATGCAGTGAGAGGTTTGGGAATGAACAACATGCCCTCAAATTACACAGCCAGGATGAATCTCACTCAGATTTTGGAGACATCCGCCGCTTTTCCTAGTGCCAACCCGCAAAATATGATCAATTCCAGCACTTCAGTTTATGAATTCCAAACACCAAATTACCTCACAAAAAACAGCAGCACCGATCAGATCAGTTTTTCTTCTGGAGATAACCAAGCACAATCAGACATCGGAGAGCAGCAGTTAGATTTTAGCAGCACTGTAAAAGACCTTTTAGGGGAGGACAGTCTGCCAACAAACCAGCAGCTGGTGAATCAGGTGGCATCAGATCTCAATAACGTTGCATCTGTCTTTTCCAGCGACATCAGGTTGTCTTCCGAGCTCTCAGGCAGCATTAACGATCTGAACACTTTAGACACAAATCTACTGTTCGATCCAGGTCGTCAGCAGGGACAAGACGATGATGCTACACTGGAGGAATTAAAAAATGACCCCTTGTTTCAACAGATCTGCAATGAATCCATTAACTCAATGACTACATCAGGTTTTGAGTGGATGGAGAGTAAGGATCATCCTGCTGTTGAAATGTTGGGTTAATCTTGTTTTGTAATATGTATGTAGCACACTGTATCTAAAGACAGACGTATTGTATTTGTCTTAATGGAAGTGCCTCCCGCAGCAGAAACACTTGCTATGTTTTGTGGCATTTTTAAAAAAGTTTGCTGTACCCGTTGCTCATTCTTCAGCAGGGAAAAGGCAGTCTTACCAATTTTAAACAAATCTCTGAAGGTCATGGGCTATCAAAGAGCCAGTATTAAAAGTTGAATTTTATAGTGTTTCCCATTCAACATTCTTATTGTAGCAAATAAAGAAGTGGTTAATAGCCAGCCAGCAGTGACAGCTATGGTTGAGGCTTTTTAAGTTGGGCTCGTTAGTAGGCTTTCCATACTTTGTATTGCTTGTTACTTCTCAGTAGATGACCCTTACTGACCTTTGTCGTTCAGGTCTGAAGTGCAGGGTGCCTGTAGACAGGTGAGTGGTGGGGAGTGGGTACAGGTGAACCGCTGACGTGCAGGTGCCTGATCACCGTGTAGCTGTCCTGAGTGTTGCTCGGTGGGGGACTGTGGGAAGCTGTGTAGCCCTGGTGCCGCTGATGTCCCTAGTAAAATGCAGAGATGGGAAAAACGTAACAGGCGTGATCAAGGAGAAAGAAAGATGCACTAAATTTTTTATTTAAGAGAAATAAATCTATGTAGTTATTTTATCTATTAACATTCACGACATACTTGATATTTTAGTTCTTGCTTAGTGCTTTTATATTAGGTAAAATTCAAGTGAAAAGATTTTGAGCACTGAGATTTAATCTAGGCATAACACCCTATTTTAAAGTGATAGGTACTGTTTAATTATTTATCAATGCTAGGGAAGGAACGTGATTTTTTCCCTCTTTCTTTTTTCAATAAAAGAGCTGCTGGAGCTCATTAAAATACTGTTTTTAAAGATTCATTTTTTAAATGTGCTCTTTCCTAATATAGTGGAGGGTGAAGGAAGGTGTTTTTTCCTCTGTATTTCAGTAGGTTGAGCCTTTCTGTCTTTCTTGCTTACTCTCTCATTCAAACAAAAGATGATTAAAATACTAGAAAATGTGGTTGATCTAAAAGTATTTAATGTAGAGCCATAATACTGCCAGGCACTTTACAGATACACAGGAAGATGTGATCTTTCTTTTGGTAAAATTTCTTTTAAAAGTATTTACTCTTTTAGAAGCCTGAATTCCATTTTCAGGAGTGATTTGACGGGACTAGTGAATCGGATTTTTTTTTTTTTTTAATAGAAGTCCTTAGCTGCCCCTCTGGAAAATGGGATTTAGACTTCTGCCACACTAGTTCACTTGAACCAAAAAAGACCTTTCGTTTTGTCAGCATGGCATAATCTCTCTAATGGTGAAAACAGAGAGGGATACTTAACCAGCCAAGGCCCTGATGCTAGAAAGAGGACTTGCAGAGGCAGCTTTCACAGAAAAGCAGTGCACTGAGGATGCTAAATACCATCCCTTAAGCTTAGTGTAAAATTGATTATTTCTCCTGTGAACTGACACTTGCAAAACAGAAAACAGAGCAGAAAACATTTTCCTCTCTGGCATTGCTTTTTTGAATGAAGGGTCATAAATTTATGAAGGGGGAGGCACAGTAAGGCCCCCTAGATTTACTTAAGGGGAAGATGCTCAGATTTTTCGGGTGATCGGTGTTTTTTTCGTTTAAGTGTCTTGGTGGTCTTCTGTTTCTTCAGTCTTTGCTAGTGACTTGAGATCCTAGTACTGGTCAGGTTTTGGCGGTGCTTATTCTTCTTGTGCTGCTGCATTGGCACTTGAGGTGCTGGCGTACTACGGCTTCTGTTGCTCTTGCCCCAATTCATCACCAGTCTGTGGGCGCTTCTGCAGGAACAAACAGTTGTGCCAAGCTGTAGCACCTTACGGGGGCCTCATTTCACTGTGCTTGCATCAGAAGTTTTGCCACGTCACCAGGAACAAACTTGGAGAGTTCATATCCCTCCTTGAAGCACGTGGATGTGTGATGGTGTGGTTCGCTTCATCTAAGACCAAGTGACCCTTTTAAGTTTTGTTACGGAAATGGGGAGGAGACTGAAAACTGCATGGTAGCCTTCTTGTTATCTTGCCAGGTGTCTGTCAGTAAGGCTTGAACCGTTTTCCCCGTAGGCTGAAGTTGCTTCAGGCAGGGCTTGAGTTCTGTAGCTGCCCGTGGCTTTTGCTAGAGACATGCCGAATGTCTGCTTATCCTGTTGACTTCGCTGGCCCCGAGACACTCGGCACCTCCCTTCCCCCCCGCCCCTGTGCAAAGTGCCAGCACTACTGTGAACAGGTGGAACCGACCTGCTGGTGGAGAGCAATGGCGAGAGGCCGCATGCGTGCTGCAGCAGCTGGTGCGTTTGCACCATGTGTTGGCCTCACCTCCAGGTCACGAGCACCAGGACTGACGGGGGCTTGGGGGAAAGAAGTTTTCGCCTAACTCCACTTGTTTTTTATAGAACATTTCTCGGAAAAGCAAGAGTAGATATAAAGCTGATGTGTTCTAAATTATGCAGCCATCACCAAAGGTTTTTAAAAGTGCATTTAAAATTATTTTTAAATACAAGCATTACATTGGGCCTAACGTGACTTAATTAGCAGAAATACAGAAGTGGATTTAAAGCAAATATATGTATAATTAAAGAAGCGTTAAATTTGATAAGGATTGTTTCAAGTAAAATCCAAGGCACAGGCACAGCTTTGTACATTGGTATGTATTGTTTTAGAGGTGTTTGTGTGTTTGGTGTTATAATTAATAATGTTAGGTCCCTGTACTTCGTGCTGGGTAGTTCTTTACTGTACATTGAGACAGAGCACTACTGCACACCAAAGTATGCAATACCCAAAGGAAAATTCTGTGATTCTAACAAATGGAAGCCTGTCTGTGTGAGATACTCCAAAACTAAGAATTTGAGATAGTTCTGACCCCTTGTTTACATTATTGGCTTCCTGCTAACATGAGAAATAAAATATTTTGATAGAAGTTTTTGCTAAAGTATACAAACTAGTGAATTTGTACCCTGTGTACAGTATTGCAGCAAACACTTTAAATTTGGTTGGTGGGTTAGTCCAGCAAACTTTCTGGGTTCATATATTGCACTAAAATTCTGTTGAACCTGTGGCAGGCACATTCCTTAGGATAAATGCAACAAATACGGCCCACAGATTAAAAAAAAAAAAAAAAGGCAACACAAAAAAAAACTTTTTAATGTATTTCATTATTAAAAGGCAAAATGTCATTGAAAGTGACAGGTGAAATTGTCTTATGTAGCAATGTGCATTGATCTCAATGAGATATTTCTATTTCTTATTCTCTTACATGAGAATATTACAGCAGGAAAAATTAAGTTTAGTTTGCTTCACCATGTTAATACATGATCACAAAACGTGCATGAGTGTTAATGACTTAATCTTGTACAGTACTAGATATATTCCTGTAACCACTTTTATTTTTTTTATTCTTTTGCTGTATTGAAACTGGTTCAGTGTTAACCAGGTGAGCATAGTTATTCACAAGTTATTTACTTTTTTATGTTAACTAATTCAGCTTAGTTATTGTTGAATATGTTCCTTTCTTGGATTATTTTTTATTGTTCTGGTGTTGAAAAGCATTTTGCATCATTTTATCATAAGAATTCATGAAGTAAATAATTTGCAAATAATTGCAATAAGCACTGACTTCTGAACTGAAAAGAAGGAAAGCGTTTCTTGTGCAGTGCATCTGAGGTTCATATACTCTTGTACTATACTGTGCTTTATTTACTGCACCATAAGGAAAGAAAAATCCCTATTCTACGTCTTCATTTAGTGCAGGAAATCCAGTTTCGCCCCTTTTCCCCAGTGTTTTGTTGTCTGTTGTACTGCTGAAACTACAGTAGTTGAATATTGCAGTAGCATTTCAGTTATTTTTTTTATTGAAAGTGCTCAAAAATTGTTTTTTAAATGTTTTCAAAAACAATAAAAACATTTTATATTAAAATGACTTCTGCAGTTTTTTCTTTATATGGAAAATGTGCGTTAAGGTTGACCTAAAATACGGAGCTTTCTGGTTTGTGTAAATACAAATCACAGCTGCCCAGCTGTACCGACTTGCTGCAGTTGCTGAGCGCAGTCATACACTTGAAGCTGAGCATGAAGGTGAATCTTCCGAGCCGGGATGCCTTGATCAGTCTGTGCTCTCAGAGTCATCTCTTGAGAGAAGCTGGTGGTAATGGGCTTCTGACCATTCATTTTATCTTTTATTCTGGTTTCCCTTTTAAGTGGGAAGTGCTTATGTGGTGATACTATTACATTTGGGGGATAGAAACAGCTGCAGCTTACCATTGAACCTTGACAGTTCAAATTTACCACCAAACATTAAAAGAATATTTTGGCCGAGGCTGTAATTGTGGCTGTAAATGTGGTTGTGATAGTCATGCTGGTTAGAGTTGGCGTCACATGCTGCTCCTCTGTGCCGCGTTCATGCCTGTGTGGGTGCTGGCCTGTGTTCGCTCTGTGTCTGGGTGGTGGCTCTTGCTGTTGTGGCCTCCGACATCCCATTGCTGGTATAGCTGTCCACAGTGGCGGTGGTTTTGCTTTTTGCCACTGGTAAAGCTCTCTTAACGAAATAATGTTATGGTGCAGGTTGGCTTGCTGCTGTAAAGGGGGAAATACACTGGTTTGATCTATAGGATCCTTTATTTGGGTTGTGAAATTGTATGTAAACCCCGGCAGTGTTCCCAGCACAGTCTGTGTGAACTCGATGGACAAGTATTGCCACAGAGCAGAAACTAGCTGCAAGGAAATGAGGGTGAGGATAAATATTCAGGTTTTCATGCCAAAAAGATAACACTGGTTAACAGTTAGACTCCATCCCAGGCTACAGAGGTGCTGAGATGAGCTGGCAGGTGGCAGATTTGATGGTGGCACAAAATCACTTTAGGTTCGTGAAGAAAGAAGAATCATTATCAGGGAGACATAAGTGAGGCAGCATGAATGAAAGAGCATCAGAAAGACTGATTAATTGTAACATGACATTGGAGGGTATGCTATTAATATATCTCACTGGATCCTAAACTAACATGCTCTAAAAAGAATTCTCAAAGATCGATTCATAGACACGCTTTCTCCAGGGTCCACAGTCATAAAAAATGCAAATTAAAAAATCCCAAGGAATGAATTGGAATATAATGTAGGAGATACCAGTTTCTAAAATAGTTCATCTGAAGTAATAATGAATTTTAATCGGAACCTCTCAGCTGTAGACAGGAGGCCTAGAATTGGCCTAAATGGTTAATAATAAGGGTTATAAGAGCAAACAAATCTGTGAGTGAATGGAAGTGGCTTAACACGAAAGACTTAGGAAGGTAGAAATGTCAAAGTAAATGCATGATCAAAATAGCTACCTCAAAATGTTGAAGTCATGAGCTTCATAGGTTTCAGAAAGACTCGATGTTT